GCTGCGGCTGCTGCTGTTGCTGCTGCTTCCTTTGCTGTGGCTGCCGCTGCTGTTTCTACTGCTGCTGCTGCGTTTGTTGCTGCTTCGTGCGCAGCGACTGTTGCTGCTGCTGCAGTTGTTGCTGCTGCTGCTTCGATTGCTGCTGTTGCTTCTGCTGCTGCCATCTCAGCGGCATCGGTTGCAGCAGCAGCCTCTGCTGCAGCTGCTTCCGCTATACATTCTGCTGCTGCTGCTTCTGCTGCCGCATTAATTGCTTCTCTTGTTACTGCCACTTGTGTTGCTGTTGCTGCTGCCTGCGCCGCTGCTGCTGTTTCCATTGTTGCTGCTTCTTTTCTTTCCCTTCCACCAATTGCTGCTGCTGCTCGTGGATCTGCTGCTGCTGGCACTGCCTCTGCACCTGCTGCTGCAGAGTGCCAATATTTCTGCTGTGTCTCCTCCAAATTCCCTGTCTCTGCAGCTGCAGCAGCAGCTGCTGCTGCTTTCGACTTCACCTGTGTTGCAGCAGCAGCAGCAGCAGCACGAGGAGGAGCAGCAGCAGCCTGCAAAGACGGCCAGCTGCCAGTTCGCTCCTTGCGCTGCAGCAGCTCGAGTTGCTGCTGCTGCTGCTGCTGCTGCAGATGCTGCCAGCCCCTATTTCTTTTATTTATTTCTGTTGCCTTTACTTGCATGCGTGGGGCGACTTGTGGGGTCGCCGGCTGCGCATTCACCTCGCCTTGCTGCTGCTGCTGCTGCCGCTGTTGCTGCTGCTGCTGCTGCTGCTGCTGCTGCTGAGAAGGAGGATGGGGGCGGCGCTGCCGGCGCTGCAGCTGCCATCCCTCGTCCTCTGAAGTGTGCTCCTCTTGTTGCTGCTGCAGCCACTTCTGCTGCCACAGCTGCTGCTGCTGCTGCCACATCTGCTGCCACCGCTGCTGCTGCTGATGCTGCTGCTGGCGCAACGGAAGCGCCGAGCGCGGGGTGAAAAACTCAGCAGGCTCTGGTGAGCTGCTGTTGCTGCTGCTGCTGCTGCTGTTTCTTTTGCTTTGAGTAATCATAATAGGGAGAGAAACAGCTGCTGGAGTTGCAGGTTTCGTGCTGCTGCTGCTGTACCTGCTGCTGCTGCTGCTGCTGCTGGCTTCACCTCCGTCTGTTGCTGAATCGAAGGACAGGCCGTCGCTAGAGTCCGCAGCAGCACTCAGCAGCAGCTGCTGCAACCCCAAAAAGCTCATGCTGCTGCTGCTGCTGCTGCTGCTGCTGCTGGGTGTCACGGGCAGACAGACGGGGCAGCAGCAAGCGCCGCTGCCGGGAACAGCAGGAAGGAAGGGGGGCCTTATACATTGTGCTTTCCTTGCTTCCTGCTGCTGCTGCTGCTGCTGCTGCTGCTGACGATGGGTCCTTTGCCTCTGCCTTCTCTTGTGCGCTGCTGCTGCTGCTGCTGCTGCTGCTGGCTTGTTCTGCTGCATCATACTGCAAGACCGCGGGCGCTACGCCGCGGCCCCACACCGGCTACGGGGCCGCTGCCTGCCCCACAGTGGAGCAGCAGCAGCAGCAGCAGCAGC